GTATAGATTAATTTGGTATAAATATCTCATTTTTGAATCTGAGGGTCGAAACCCACTTTTTCCTAGAACAGCCCCCAAATGAGTAGGATGTTTTTATGAATAATATATAACAAATGTACCTGATAATGCTTCTTCAACAAAGCCCCTGCCTTCTCCTTCCTCTCCACCGCTTCCTCTTCTTCTATTTTTTTCAACTCTCTAATATAGTGCGCCAATATGTCTTCTTCTTTGTAATTTAGTAGAGATAAAAAATTTTTAAAATGGTCATAAGACCAGTTTTCTTGTATAAAAAAATTTTTTAAGTGGGAGTTGTCGCGTTTCATTTTTTTTTTTAAAAAATTTTTAAAGAAATTTTTACCCGTATTTGTGATACCTAATGATTATATACAGGACAGCAGGGTCCATTGAGACAACTACTAAATATGGTTGAAATGTTACTTCAATGGACCCAACGGACCATCAATGGACCAGTACCATGGTCAACCCTGCAGGACAGCCAAGTTATTTATATATATATATATATATATATATATATTTTATATATATAGCATATTATAGAAAAAACATATTATTACCATTACTGTCTTCATTATACCGGTTTTATAAAACTGTTTTTTTGTGAATCTCTCTAAAATTTATTACCAACATTAGACAAGCTTGGAAAACAATAAAATTGATTAATGTTTTATCATGCATTCAATAGTTGTATGCATAATAGGCGGGTTTGATGCTTATTTGATGTAAAAATGAAAATGCCATCCATATAAGTATTTAATATTAATAGATTTTTCAAAATTAAAAAAAACAATCATATGTGATTTATTATCAATTTGAATAATGGTTTTATTATTTCTCTTTTCTCTTTAAACATGACAAAAATAGATGATAAAATCGGATTTACTAAACTCATTTTTAAATAAACAAACTGTTTTTTCATTGTATATTTATAGTTAGTTATTCCTGAAATATGTATCAATTAATTAATTCAAACCCAAAAATATCAAAAAAATTAACAAAATTCTCAGGTTCAAGTATTCTTTGTCATAATTGATAAAGTGGTGAAAAACTCATTTATTTTATATTTTTCTTTATTTACTGAATTGGAATTTAAAGAAATTTTGAATATAAAATGCAAGACATTTTTACCAGCTGTACTATTAAAAAAATAATCAATAATAAAATATCTCTAAACATTTTCTTTATTCAAATTTTCTTTTTACCAACTCTATTATTACAAATCTAATTCTTTTTCTCAATTAAATTTTTCCTATATATATATCAACAAATTTAATCACATTAAAAATGGTCAGATACAATAAAAGACAACTTCAAATTAGAAGATTAGCTGATGCTAGAAGAAATTGTTCTGAACAAAGCAATTTAAATACAAATGATATTGAAATGGATTTAATTGAATCTGAATCTGAACCTGAAATTCAAATTGAATCTGAACCTGAACATGAAATTCAAATTGAATCTGAACCTGAACCTGAAATTCAAATTGAATCTGAACCCGAAATTCAAACTGAATCTGATTGGAATTCTGATGACAGTGAACCATGGGATGATTTGAGAATGGACAGAGATGATAATGCTGATTTTGTATGTGGATGGTGGGAAGAGGCAAAACAAACTTTCAAAGAAAATGCCATTTCAATAAAAAGCAGGTCTTTTTACATGAAAGATTCAAAAAGAACACTACGAAGGCAGGCTAGTCAATTAAAACAAGCAGCAGAAGGATCAAAGAAAATCACTGATTTTTTTAACCTTCAAACTTCCAGTGAAGATCAACCTGAAGATTCAGAGCAAAGTGGTGTTGAATCATTAAATTATGATCTTGATGATGATTTTGATCTTGATCTTGAAGATGATATTAACCTTATGAATAATGACTGGAAAAGTGCAATAAGTTCTGTTGAGCAAGCTCTTGGAAGACCTAATTTAACCAATGATGTAAAGTCCAAATTAATGGCAATTGAAATGTATTTTAGACATTTGGATAATGGCAAAAAACAGATTGAAGCAAGTGAAATAGTTGCAATATCTCTAGGGTGGGCAAGAGTTTATAAAGGAAGATGCATTAGAACTTGGGCTAAACAATGGGTCCAAAATAAAATATTACCTGAATCAAATAGAGGAAAACACCCAAAAACAAAAAGCCTTTTGGATCATGAAGATGTTGCTGCACAGATTGGAAGTCACTTAAGGTCCAATAAATTTGATATAACACCTAAAAAATTATGCAAACATGTCAATGATATAATATTGCCTAATTTTGGAGTGGAAAACGAACACAAAAAAATATCTGAACAAACTGCAGCAAGATGGCTCAAAAAATTAGGATGGATGTTTAGTGCTTATAAAAAAGGATTCTATCATGATGGCCATGAGAGACCTGATGTTGTTAAATATAGAGAAGAATTTTTAAATTTTATGGAAGTGGAATATGAACCTTATGCTCCAAGGTTTGAGGGAGATAATTTAGATAAAAGAATTGACCCTGTATTAGAAGAAGGAGTTAAAATAAGACATATAATAACACATGATGAATCTACCTTCTATTCAAATGAAAGTAATAGTCAAGGTTGGATTCCAGAAGGTGAACAACCTTTAAAAAAGAAGGGGAGAGGGAGGGCTTATCATGTTGGTGATTTTTTGAGTGAAACAATAGGTCCCTTACATCTAAATGATGAAGAACAAAATCAATTCCCCCACTTACCTAAACAAAGCCGTGAATGTATTATATCAGGATCAAATCATGATGGGTGGTGGACAACAGAAAAATTAAAAAATCAAATAATTAATAAAGCAATACCAATATTCGAAGCCACTCATCCAGGTTGCATTGCTCTATTTGCATTTGACAATGCAACTTCTCATGCTGCCTTTGCTGATGATGCTTTGGTTGCATCCAATGTAAATTGGAATGATGGTGGAAAACAACCAAAGATGAGAGATACTGTTTTCAATGGTGCAATTCAACAGATGACTTACCCTAATGGAGAACAGAAGGGAATGAAAACAATTTTGCAAGAAAGAGGATTATTTAAGGAAGGATTAAAAAAAGTATGTTCTGACTGTAAAACTAAAAAGTTAAGGGAACAGAATACAAAAACAGATTGTTGTGGACTGAAGATTCTGGAGTTACAACCAGATTTCAAGTCACAAAAGGGAATTATTCAAGAAACAATTGAAGGAAAGGGACATATGGTGATTTTCTACCCCAAGTTCCATTGTGAATTAAATTTCATTGAAATGTATTGGGGTGCAGCTAAGAGATACACAAGAGAAAATTGTGACTACACCTGGGATGGACTCTTGAAAACAGTACCTTTGGCCTTGGACTCTGTTCCAATTTCATCTATAAGAAGATATGCACGTAGGTCTTTCAGATATATGGATGCATATAGAAAAGGGCTGACTCTTAATGCTGCAGAACATGCTGTAAAAAAATATAGTTCCCATAGAAAAATTCCCAACAGTGTATTGTGTGGTCTTGACTCTAATGTAAATTAATATTAGTTTTATAGTATTTATTTTTTCCATTCATATATATAATAAAATAATGTAACTTATATAAAATATTATGCAGAAAAATAATTATTTTGCAAATTAATAATATTATCTTCATTATTTATAGTATTTTCATCCTCTTCATATAGGATAAATTTTCTTACATGTCAAATTTAAATATTAATTATATATTAATATATAAATATTTAAACGGAAAATTTTTTTAAAAATTTGCATCATAATCACTATCAAAAGGTCACGTGATACAAAAATTTTATTGCATTTTTGAACATAACTTATAATTCTGAGATTTGAGATTTTTCCCAAAATTGGCCGCGAGGCGCAGTAAGTTGCGGGACTAGGTGATTTGCACTATACGCAGGGCGGGAATTTCAAAAATTCAAGAATTTCTTCTTATTTTAGAAAGAAAAAAAAAAGGAAGCTATTTTTTTTTTCAGGAAATTAAAAAATTTAAATGAGAGAATACTGGTTGTATGATAAAATTGTTATCTGTCAAAAAAAATCTAATACTAAAATTTTCTTTTCTCAAAACTATTAATTAATAAAAATAAATCAAAAAATTATGTCATTTGTAGCTTGGGTTTTCAAGAATATTTGCACAATTCTTGTAATTAAAAGAAATATTCCCTCTTGAAAATACTCTTCTCCAAAAATAGAAGTTTAATCACTTCTCTTTACTAGCTATTGAAAAGAAAATTGTTGAAATTTGTGAAGCTTCAAAAAATAAATATTTTTTTATTTTAACACTCACCTAATTTAAAATCATAAAAGTATTAAACAGAAACACGTCGTCGTATTTGTTGAATTCATACTTGTTATTTATTATGTTTTCTAACCCTTATTGGAAAATAATGACAAATGTTTGTTCACCATTTTGTACAATATTTAAACAAAAAAGGGTTTGATCACGCACAAACTATTATCAATGTTTTTATTTGTTGAGGATGTTATGCAAATTATGCAATCACGTACGTGATTGCATAGTGCATTTTTTGGAACTAGACCTTTTTTAGATTTTGTACCCTTGATCCCGAAAATTGATATCTGATGCGAAAAAAAAATAAGAAATATTAATATTATTATAGGACATTATTTCGCCACCATTACCAACAAAGAGATTGAACAAATAATTTCATCTAATGGTGGTATTTAACATATAAAATATGCATATAGACCGCTTTGGGCTATAAAATCTTTTTAAGAATAATTTGATTGGATTAGCAAGCATGCCTGTATTTACTTTTTTATTATTTAAATCCTTACTTTTTATTGGTTGAAGCTTGTCACTAAAATTTTGGGGATGCGTGGATCTGCCATATAACCGTGTATTGAGATCTCCAAAATAATGTCATATTCTTCTTTGTACCACTAAACTTGTATATACCCAAAATCCATTCACTTATTAATATATTATAAAAAACAAAAAAAGTTGATGTGTAACTTTTATTATAATAATAAATTACTTTCCCTTATTTACTCTGTCAAATTTATATTATGTGGAAAAATAGAAAAAAAGCTCCCGAGATCTAAATTATCTCCTATTTCTGGTGTAAACACATGCAATATTTAAAAAAAAACTTATAAATCTATTATTAAATTTGAAATTTTAAAAATATATTATAATAATAGTATAAAATGTAAAAAACCAAAATTTCCCCCTGTAGTAACTTCTTTTTTTCTTTCAATTATAAAGTCTTTTCACCAAGGACACTTTCTTTTTTTTATTTATTAGTGTAGTATATATATATATATATAAAAATAAAATGTCGATATTTAAAAAAAAGAAAAATGTAAATGTCGAAAATGAAACTTTTATTAGTTTGGAACATCATTCTTCCTCAATTATCGATGATAGCACCACAGTAATAGCTGCTACTACAATGAGTTCTATCACAGCAGCTACAACAACAACAATAACAAACCAACAACAACAACAACAAACAACAGCTACTTCAAAAAGACGCGTTTATGTAAATATGCCTTTACCACCAGAAGAATTAGATCAATATGACGAACCAATAATAAAATTTGCATCAAATCGGATCAGTACTTCGAAATACACTTTGTTAACCTTTATACCAAAAAATTTATTTGAACAATTCCGGAGAGTGGCAAATATGTATTTTCTTTTCCTAGTAGCACTTCAACTTATACCTTCAGTAGGTGGTGGTGTTTCTCCCATTTTAGTGGCTTCCCCACTATTCACTATCATCACTATGACTGCAATTAAAGATGCTTTTGAAGATTGGAAACGTCATACTCAAGATAAAACACTTAACAATTCTAAAGCTACGATAATATCAAATTGGGTAAATGTCAATATGCCATATGGCGGTAGTGAGCAATTTAAATCCTTGCGTAAAATATTGAATCGTTTTTTTGGTTATAAAATCAAAAAATCAAACTGTAATTACAGTAATAGTAGTAAGCATCATCATGATAATGATAGTGATAATAGTAATGTTAATAATAATAATAGTAATGATAGGTCGATAGTGGTTCCATCATCATCTCGTACAAACAAAACAAAAGTTTCAGATATAAAATGGTCTGATGCTCATTGGCAAGATGTTAAAGTTGGTGATATCATACGATTAAATAATAATGATCAAGTGCCGGCTGATATGATAATTTTATCTACAAGTGAACCAGATGGTCTTTGTTACTCGGAAACAAAAAATTTGGATGGTGAAACAAATCTTAAAGTTCGTCATTGTGTGTCCGCAACTTCATCAATAAAATCTGAACAAGATTGTGGGACTGCTTCTTTTTATGTTGAATCTGAACCACCAAATGTCAACTTATACACATTCAATGGAGTTTTACATTGGATCGTAAAAGATGGCACCGACATTAAAACTGAACCCATATCTATAAATGACGTTTTGTTGAGAGGTTGTGTTCTTCGTAATACCGAGTGGGTTATAGGCTTAGTGCTATATACTGGAACAGATACCAAAATTATGTTAAATTCTGGCGATACGCCAAGTAAAAGAAGTCGAATTGAAATAGAAACAAATTTTCATGTATGAATTATAATGACATTGTTTGTTTTTGGTGGTGGTTGCAATTATTTAAAAATTTAATTATTTTGAACTTATATATATATTTATAGGTTACCATGAATCTCTTGTTTTCTTTCTTCTAAGCGAATTGTTCCTTGATGATGAAGACTGCTTGTTGTTGACTGTAATTACTTCAGACTCTAGTGGTGGTTGCAGTTGTGATAATGATGACAAATCTATGTTTGAGTCGTTGTTGGATGATGATGATGATATCACATAGTTTGATCCATTTGTTGAATTGATGGTAATTGGTTTTGTCATTGGAATTTTTTCCTCCTCCACATGACTGCTTTCACCATCATCATTAATAATACCATATTTTTTCATCATTTTACTTTTATAATTATTTTCTTTGAAAACTTCTTCACGAATAATGTCAGTATCAGTTGGCCAATAAGTTTTATGAAGATATTTTACTACAAATCTTGGCAAAATACTAATTATAACTGATAATGCAATTGACATCCAAAAGTCCATTTCAGTATATAGTATCCTATCAGCTCTAAAAAATCCAAACGCGTAAATGATTGCATAGAATTCTACCCACAAATAGAATGATAAGATGCTGCCGCAGATAATCACAAACGCCATCCATTGTTCTGTCTCATCATCATTATCATTATTATCACCACCAGTTGACGATGAAGATCCTTTATCATTATTATTATTATTATTATTATTATTATTATTATTATTGCTGGTAGTAGCAGTAGTAGCAGTTGATGATGTTCTTTCAAATAAAATATTAGGCAGGGTTTTACTACGATTTAATGGTTGTGTGATTAGATAATCATCTAATAATGACAAATGACTTTTAAATGTTGACGTTGATATTGTGTTAGATCGTTGTTGTAGTCTTTGTATTGGACTATAAACAGATTTTCTGAAAGTTTCAAATGCACTCTCTTCAACAGAAAATGCAAACCCAGTAAATGCCTCACATATTCCTGAATCCATATGAACCATTTGATCAATAGAATTCGATGAATCTCTTGTTTTCTTTCTTCTAAGCGAATTGTTCCTTGATGATGAAGACTGCTTGTTGTTGACTGTAATTACTTCAGACTCTAGTGGTGGTTGCAGTTGTGATAATGATGACAAATCTATGTTTGAGTCGTTGTTGGATGATGATGATGATATCACATAGTTTGATCCATTTGTTGAATTGATGGTAATTGGTTTTGTCATTGGAATTTTTTCCTCCTCCACATGACTGCTTTCACCATCATCATTAATAATACCATATTTTTTCATCATTTTACTTTTATAATTATTTTCTTTGAAAACTTCTTCACGAATAATGTCAGTATCAGTTGGCCAATAAGTTTTATGAAGATATTTTACTACAAATCTTGGCAAAATACTAATTATAACTGATAATGCAATTGACATCCAAAAGTCCATTTCAGTATATAGTATCCTATCAGCTCTAAAAAATCCAAACGCGTAAATGATTGCATAGAATTCTACCCACAAATAGAATGATAAGATGCTGCCGCAGATAATCACAAACGCCATCCATGTCCAATTGAAGGTGTTCAAACCAACATATAAATTAGTGGTTGCTATGACTGAAGCAGCTACCAGTGTACCTAAATCTTCTAATCCATCATTGGATAATCCATTTGCATGAGATTGTCCGAATTGAAGTAAGCCAAATGAAACAAAGTAACAAATAATTGATTGGTAGAACGCATCTAATACATATAACCAAAATTTGGATTTTGTAAAGTCTTTTTGGAGAATTCCACGTTTGTAAAGTTGTGGATATTTTAATGAAACTTTTGCATTAACATCTTGATCAAAAGTACCTGTAAAAAACATCAATATGTTATTTTTTTAAAATATATGCTAGTTATTTTTGCAAAATATTAATAATAAAATATTTACCCAAAAACATGACAGGGAATGCTGTAAATATAAGATTATAAAGCATTATATATGTGTAGTCGTAAAGATATTGAGCTGTAAATCTATTATTATTATTAAAATTTATTAATTAAAAGAAAATCATAAATAAAAATATAATAATCAACCAAAAATACTATACCCGGTCCAAATTTGATACCAAAACATTGCAATTGTCCAAACAATGTTTTTGTAAAAAAAACATGATATCATTTCTGCAATTCTAATATAAGACCAACGGCCATGAACAAGTAAAAGTTTTTCCAAATATTTAAATTGTGCTATAGCAAAATCTGCTGACATTACTGCTTGGCGACCTTCTTCACCTGCTATTCCAACACCAACATTTGCTTCTTGTATCATACTAACATCATTAGCACCTATATACAATAAGAATATAAGTATTATATATATAATAGTATATAAAAAATCATGATATTGCTATAATTATTAGTATTACCATCTCCAATAGCTAAAGTCATTACTTTGAGACCATCTTTTACCATTTCAACAACTTTGGCCTTTTGTAATGGGCTTACACGACAGCAAAGAACACTTTGACACCTTTTTCCAAGATCCAATAAATGTTGCTTGACAGAATCATCAAGTGCATACTTGAGCGTTTCCCCATCAATTATCAATGCATGTTTATTTATTTTATCAACATCATTACCAAAAAACTTTAACATCGCTTCATGTAATTGAGCAAGTGTACTTTGCAAATCTGAAGCATTGATTATGATTAAGGTCATATCATTTTGCAATAGATTACATGCAAACCCAATATTTATGGCCGTTTCTATTTTGTCACCAGTTAACACCCATAACTTTATTCCAGCCTTTGCTAATGTGGCTATTGTCTCAGGAACACCTTCTTGAAGCTTATCTTCAATCGCTGTACCACCCATCAATACTAATGAATGTTCAATCAATTCGCATGCTTGTTCTATTTTCTCTTCCCTATTATCAATGCTGGCTGCTGCTTCAGCATATTTTAATGACCATTCAGCATATTCTTCATCTGGTATAATACGATACGCTAAACATAATGTCCGAAGTCCTATTCATTAATTTTTTAGAGAAATAAATTATACACATATATATGATAAATAATAATGTATTATACGATAAATATAAAATATACAAGTATAAATACCTTCATTAGCAAAATGTTGTAAATCCAACAAAGTATCTTCACGTAACTTTAATTGACAATCCTTTTCTAACCGTTCATAAATCACACTATCAGCACCTTTACACAATAATATTATACTTCCTTCAGGTGAACGTACAATAACAGACATTCTTTTCCTATTACTATTAAATTCCAACACATTTAACAATTCAAAATGTTTACAGTCACCCATCACTTCAATCACTAAAGTGTTTTCGAATCGTCCAGTAAATACAAATCCAACATCTTTAGCGCATGCAACTAAGGCGGCCTCATCTGGTGATTGAGCTTTATAAACAATATTATAAGGATTATCTTCATCAGGATTTTCAACAAGCACAGTATGACATAGTGCGAGAGCTGAAAAGAAATCTTGGATTGCTTTTGATTGTTTGTCTTTAGTTTTTAAAGCTCGAAAAAGGTTTGGATCGATAAATGAGAAATCTGATGAAATGTATTTGTTATAAAACAGTTTTGACATTTCCTCCAACATTAATTTTTTCTCTGCATCTATATCAATTTCATCTCCATTATCTTCTTCGTAAATAGCATCATCATCACCTGATTGTAATTTAGCACCATGTGTTGCATCAGTTTCGCCCAGTCCATAAGCGATACCATTGATTGTGCATTTACGAAATTTCATAACATTTTGAGTTAATGTACCAGTTTTATCTGAGAAAATGTATTCTATTTGACCCAAATCATCTGAAATATTCCAAGTCCTTGGAACACATGGATAATCAAGCTTTTCATAATAAATTTCAATATCTGAATAAATAAAGTATGCCTTTTTATATATAAAAAAAAAAACAAAAAAAAAATTAATTATTAATTAAATCAGTCAATATATTTAATTGATCATTTCTTAATACCTGCATAGTTTTAACCAATTCGATTGTAATATATAATGAGATAGGCACAATATTTTGAAATAAAACCATACTTGTCCTATAGGAATTAAAATATGGTTATTATATATATATATAAATAATTAAAGTATGGTTATATATATATAATATATATATTATATTTTCCTACCAAAAAGTTACGAAACCGCTTAGAAATGGACCACGACCAACATCATCATTTCCATCATAATTAAAAACATCTGAAGAACTTCTTGGCTGGATATAATAAATAGTTTGTGCTATACCAGATCCAAGGCAAAGAAAAAACAGTATAAGAAAATTCATGGTAACCTATAAATATATATATAAGTTCAAAATAATTAAATTTTTAAATAATTGCAACCACCACCAAAAACAAACAATGTCATTATAATTCATACATGAAAATTTGTTTCTATTTCAATTCGACTTCTTTTACTTGGCGTATCGCCAGAATTTAACATAATTTTGGTATCTGTTCCAGTATATAGCACTAAGCCTATAACCCACTCGGTATTACGAAGAACACAACCTCTCAACAAAACGTCATTTATAGATATGGGTTCAGTTTTAATGTCGGTGCCATCTTTTACGATCCAATGTAAAACTCCATTGAATGTGTATAAGTTGACATTTGGTGGTTCAGATTCAACATAAAAAGAAGCAGTCCCACAATCTTGTTCAGATTTTATTGATGAAGTTGCGGACACACAATGACGAACTTTAAGATTTGTTTCACCATCCAAATTTTTTGTTTCCGAGTAACAAAGACCATCTGGTTCACTTGTAGATAAAATTATCATATCAGCCGGCACTTGATCATTATTATTTAATCGTATGATATCACCAACTTTAACATCTTGCCAATGAGCATCAGACCATTTTATATCTGAAACTTTTGTTTTGTTTGTACGAGATGATGATGGAACCACTATCGACCTATCATTACTATTATTATTATTAACATTACTATTATCACTATCATTATCATGATGATGCTTACTACTATTACTGTAATTACAGTTTGATTTTTTGATTTTATAACCAAAAAAACGATTCAATATTTTACGCAAGGATTTAAATTGCTCACTACCGCCATATGGCATATTGACATTTACCCAATTTGATATTATCGTAGCTTTAGAATTGTTAAGTGTTTTATCTTGAGTATGACGTTTCCAATCTTCAAAAGCATCTTTAATTGCAGTCATAGTGATGATAGTGAATAGTGGGGAAGCCACTAAAATGGGAGAAACACCACCACCTACTGAAGGTATAAGTTGAAGTGCTACTAGGAAAAGAAAATACATATTTGCCACTCTCCGGAATTGTTCAAATAAATTTTTTGGTATAAA